TTAGTATTTTCTTTTTTAAAATATTTATTTATTTCGTTGCACCGGATCTTAGTTGTGGCAGGTGGGTTCCCCAGTTGCAGCATGTGAACTCTTAGCTGTGGCATGCATGTGAGATCTAGTTCCCCGACTAGGGCTTGAACCCTGGCCCCCTGCATTGGGAGTCTTAACCACTGTGCCACCAGGGAAGTCCCAGTATTTTCATTCATATGAAATGAGGAGATGTATTTTTAAGTAACATGCAGGGAAGATATTCCACATTCAATCTTGTGACAGCTGGCCTCTTAAAGGCTATGCAAAGCTCTAAAAGTGGTACTTATGCTTTTAATTTTTGTCAAGTTAAGATTTAAAATTAAACAAGAAAATCATAAAGACATTTTATTTTTGTTATTCCTGTCTTAAAGAATCTTTACACATGAAAAGATGAGACATTTGTAAAGTAAGCCTAATTCCTCTAAAAATAAGGGTAGTTTTGATGGTTGTGATTTAAAAAGACACAGGTTTTAAAAAAGAGCAGGAATAAGTTTTGTATTTTTAAATCATTTCAGAAAGACCATTAAAATTTAATAATACAAAAATTTTATGCTAATAAAACCAACATGTAGTAGAAAATTTATAAAGTAGATCAATATAAATAATAAAGTCAAAACGACACATAATTCTACTTTCCAGAGAATCCAGTAATAACATTTTGGTATGTTTCTTTCCATTCTTTTTTCTGTGTATATATGGCATATATATATTTTTTAACATAGTCAAGATTATACTCTACATTCCTTTTGTTGGATTGTTTTGCTTTTTTCACTTAAGGTTATATCATGAGCATTTTCCTCTGTCCTTAAAAAATCTATGAAAACATTTTATAGTAGCTTCATAACATTCTTCTGTAATTTATTTAACCATTACTCTATTTTTGCTTACTTAGGGATATGATAAATTTTTGCTATTAATGTGAAATGAATAACTAGGTATACACATCTTTGTTCATGTTCTATTTTATCAATGATAGTTGCCTATAAAGTGGAATTGGTGACACATTGCCACAAAGCTTTCTAGAAATGTACTAATATATGAAAATACTTGTTTTATTGCACACTTAACAAACTGGTTGTGTTTGAAGAGAACTTTGCTATTATTTTGGGTTTGGAAGCATTTGTTGAAAAGGTTAGTCTACATATTTGTTATGCTATCCGTAAACATATTTTTTTAACTATTTGGTGTTAGCTATCTAGGTGCTTTTAGTGGCAGACTAACCACATGATTAGATAAAGTAGATAGAATATTTACTTATCTATCTTTCCAAGAGCAAACTATTCTGACCCACTGATCTTGATTCAACTATTTGAATTAGAAGAAAGTTAATGAAGGTTAACAATTCAAATTGACTGCTTTTCCCTAAAGTGAAGAATAGGATTGAAATAAATTGCTTACAAAATTGATTGAAAGAGTTTTTTAGTGGTTACTCGGTAGCTAACTTTGTGTGTGTGTGTGTGTGTGTGTGTTTTTGAGAAAAATTGGGTGGAAGAGAAAAAAAGCATGAAAGACTGAGGAAAGGAACGTACTGTGAATTAAAAAAGCTGCTGCCTTTATTTGGAAAAACATGTCTTTTATCTCTACCTGATTGACTCAGAAAGAACAATCACACATGAGCCCTGTTTACTGAAATAGCATTTTTGTATCTGTACCTGCTGAAATGAACTGTTACCTAAGTACATTTTAAGTAATACACTTTTTGAAAGTTGTGTTGACTAATTATGAGTAAAACCCCCAAAGTTTTGATTGTTAGATGCAAAGTGTCACTTCTCAAAAATAAGTAGCTTTCTAAAAAATCTTTGAATGTGATATGGCTTTAATTTGATTGAATATTTGAGTATTGCAGGCTTTTTTCTATGTCCCTTAATGACATAGAATATACTGTATTTGTTAAAAAGCAAAGTTTCAAGTCTAGCTGTTTTGGTACCACAATTAATTTTTTGTTAAAAATCAAAAATAGGAGTCAACAAAGTATGTTAGGCATGAGTAAAAGTTCATTTATTTTTCACAAGGCCGAGTGCATGTTAGCTTTCATATCATGCTTCCCAGAGATGTAATTTTAAGAAGTGTGGTAACAACGAAGTAATAATCATGTCATGTGCTGAGGACTCTATTAGACTTTACTAGAATTAAGTTTTAATCTTCCCAGTGCCCTGAAAAGCATGTAATGTGTAAACCGAGGGACACATAGGTTAAGAACCAGCCCAAGATCATGCAGGAATTCAAGCAGGGGTTCCAAGTCACTTCTGTCTTGCTACCTTTACAATCTTGCTACTTCCCTTTACAACCTTGCTACTTAGCATGACCCACAGACCAGAAGCAATTGGCAAAATCTGGGAACATAAAGGAATGCAAAATCTTGACCATAGAGACTTGCTGAATCAAACCCTTATTTTAACAAGATCACTCAAGTGATGTGTATGTATATTAAAGTTTGAAAAGCACCGTACTCCATCCCATATTAAAAGTTACATGGAGGTTTTGAAATTTGTTCTAAGGATTATTCCTGGTGTTACTTTAGTTCATGTGGGTTATCTATTAACATTTTCCATGAGAGGAGGAGGCAAACCGTTGAATTAGTCAGTGTCTCCCCTGCTTCAAATTGCTATTCTGCTGCTGCTTTGATTCAGATCTTGTTTAATCCAGAGGAACAATTGACTACTTCTGCTTGTGGACATTTGGTCAAAGTCCCAATCAGCCAAGTATAGCTCTGTTTTTAGTAGCCTTTACTCATGGACTGAACACATCAAATTTATAGTACATGGCTTCATTCTAGATAGGATTTTCCAAACTAAAAAGAAAAATGCTAAAAAAAAAAAGCATTTTCAAAGGAAACTTGAAATCCTTTGGAATACTTGATGTTTCAGATGGTTAGTAAGGAATGATGGATTTGTATAAATTGGTCTCTAGTAATTTCATTTAGTGAGCATAATTATTCTGTCATGAGGCAATGATAGGTAAGAAAAAAGCAAGGCTAACATAGTAGAACAGCACTGTCAGGTAGAAATATAATACAAGACATAAAATTTAAAAATTTCTAGTAGCCACATTAAAAAGGTAAAAAGAAACAGCTTAAATTAATATATTTTATTTAACCCAGTGTAGCTAAGTATTATTTCAACATGTAATCAATACAAAATTTATTACTGAGATATTCTGTATTTTTTTTGTACTAAGTCTTGAAAAATTCAGTATGCATTTTATATTTACAGTGTCTCAGTTTGGATGCTAAATTTTTCAGTTAAAAGGTGAAATGTAGTGCAATGAAAACAAAATTGTGTTTAATGGAAAAATATTTTACCTTGCTTTTGGTTTTAAAATTTAAGCTAATTAAAATTAAATAAAAATTCAGTTCCTTCAGTCACAGTATGCAGAATTCAGTATCACATGTTGGATTGTGTGTGTGTGTTTTTTTTTTTTTTTAATTTACTTTATTATTTATTTATTTTTGGCTCGTTGGGTCTTCGTTGCTGTGTGGGCTTTCTCTAGTTGCCGCGAGCGGAGCTACTCTTTGTTGTGGTGCACGGGGCTTCCCATTGTGGTAGCTTCTTTTGTTGAAGATCGTGGCTCTAGGTGCGCAGGCTTCAGTAGTTGTGGCACGCCGGCCCAGTAGTTGCAGCTCCTGGGCTCTAGAACATAGGTTCAGTAGTTGTGGCTCACGGGTTTAGCTGCTCTGCAGCATGTTAGATCTTCCCCCATGGGGGCTTGAACCCATGTGTCCCGCAGTGGCAGGTGAATTCTTAACCACTGGGCCACCAGGGAAGCCCTGGATTGTGTTTCTAATGTAAGTGATTTCACACTTATGGACTTGATCACCATCCAGATGGTTAGTAAATGAATGCCACTGGAGGTTGTGGTCTGTTTATATAAATATTTGCACAGAGAATAAAGAGGGAATAAAAAAGCTATTTAGGTCATAAAGCGTTTACTGATTATCCTCCATTCTATCCTTCCTGCAGTTGGAATTGATTTACCTTTTTATTTATTTATTTATTTATTTATTTATTTATTTATTTATTTATGTTTGGCTGCGTTGGGTCTTGACACATCGAACCGTGTCCCCTGCATTGGCAGGCGGATTCTTAACCGCTGCACAAGGAAAGCCTTTTACCTTTTATTATTGGTTCAGAATCAGTTTCTTAAATCCTTTAACCCCCACTAAATTGTAAGGCTAGCTCCAAGAGTTAGGGTTCTTCCATTTTTTTCCCTATGCCATTAGATGCTTACTTCAGAGCGCTTCGTACTTTTCAGAAAAGTGAGGAAGTCTGACAATTAGTGTGTCAAGCAGGATAGTCTGAGTGGGCTAGTTTGGCCCAGAGGTTTTAAAACTTTACACGTGTACCTGGATCACCCGGGAACTTGCTAAAAATACCAATTTATGGCCCTCACCTTTCTAGGTTCTGATTCACAGGTTTATAATGACACTGTGGACACTTCTGTATTAAATAACCTGTTTTAAGTGTTTCTGAAGTTCAAAAACGTTTAGGGACCACAAGACTCAGCATTTGACTCTTAAAGGCTGCGAGTTCGAATTAAGACATGTGCTGCTGTTGCCACGCGATCGATTCTACCCAGGCTGAAGTTTCCCAGACGGCTGCTGCTTTTCTGCAGATGGGTCTTCAGGCTGTTAAACCCCATCCCCGAAGACTGCCCTGACTCCGTCCCAGTCCCAAGTCCTGTTAAGGCGACCTGGGCTGGCCGAGGTAGACAGGGCCTTGTGACTGATAAGCCGGTTGCCTTTCGGAGCGGCCATTTTTGAGGCGGGCACCCATCCTCGTGCCCCGTAAGCCAGGAGTAGGGGGTGGGGGGACTCCGTTACCAGGACTCAAGATGGCCACCGCGCCCGCTAGCCAGCCCGCTAGCCCGCGCGCCGGCACGAGACGCGCGGGCGGCTTGCAGTTGCCCGAGGCGGCCTGGGCTAGTCTTGGGCCGCGGGCCCGGGGCGGAGCGCCCGCCCCTTCCGGGATCGGCCAATCAGCGCGTGCGGCCGGCTCAGCGGGGTCCGCCCGCGCGCCGGCTATGTGAGGACGCGCTCCCCGTCGCTGAGTGCCTGAGCCCAGGAGCAGTGGCTGTGGTACCTGCTGCTGCCGCCCGTGCGGACGCAGAGCATCGGACGCGAACGCTGTTGCGTGGGGCAAGAAGGTTAAGCCATGACGGCCATCAGGTAATGAGACAGAGCGGCAGCCTAAACTGCGCGCTTGATGGGCATTAGCCTCCTGGGTGCTGGAGAACTGTCGCCCCTTCTGTTGGGTGTTGTGGAGCCTCCCAGTGCCACCGGTCCGCCTCATGTTGGAGGCTCTCTCTGCACTTTTCATTTGGTCATTTCTGCCTTCCTCAGAAGTTTTGGGGGCTGAGGCACATGGCGGAGCCCTGCGAGCAGCCGCACCGCTGAGGTGACCCTTACCCAGATTACAGGGTTTGAAGCTTGCAGGTGAGCGTAGTGGGTTTCTTGTGAAAATGTAGCTATTTTCCCTCCCCCGGGATAGCCCGAGGCCTGGTGAAGTGTGACGTGCACAGGGCGTGTCCATGCCCGCGTGTCATGCCCTCTGACAACTTCGTTTGTGGCCCAGTGCAGACCTGCAAAGTTGGCCCTTTGATGCAGGTAGATTGCCCCCAAGTTGTGAAATTGTGTGTCCCAAAAATGTTTGCTTATGACTGGAATTAGTACTCTGGTTCCCCAGGTACCATCTGTTTACCTGCTTTTATCTGAGTGTCACACGCAATGTGGGTTTCATGAGGTAGTAGGTATACAATGAGAGCAATAAAAGAGAGGCTTCCTTCAATTGCTCTTCCAGAGTTTGGAAGGTTCTTTTTTGGTAATGGCGACAGGATAATGGCCCTGTCCAATGTCTGCGGGTAGCATTGACTGAATGTTTACCTTATGCTGATGAAACTATTTATAAAAAGAGGTAAATTGCCTTATTTACTCAGTGTTCTGAACTGCCTCTTTTAAAGTAGACCTTGGCCTTCATTGTCCCAGAGAGAGGGAGGCCCCAGCACAAATGTGAAGAGAATAAAATTAGTTAAATTTTGGTCTGTGAGCTTCCAGCAGCCTAAATCATGGTGATTTAATGGTTTCTCAGTGGTGAATTTGACTACACAATGTTTAAGAAATGACTTGAGAACCTGACTCTCAGGGAAGTTAAAGTAAGACGTAACTATGCTGAACTGGGATGCAGTTTCTCTTAAATTGTGTAATTCTATATTAACACAAAGAGTATTAACTCATTATGCAGAAGGAGGAATTGGGGTACTGAAATGTGGAGATCAACGTGGAAAGATTTCACAGTAAATTGTATTGGGACATATAAGTCTAGCTTTTAATGCTAACAGTATTTTACGATGAATTAGGATTATGCTGTTAAACCTAGTCAGTGTTCCCTCTCCCCACTCCCAACTCCCATCATTGTAGCCGGCTACTAATTAGGAGTGTGGGTCAAATACTGTCTATGTTAAGGGTCACTTTTTATGTGGACTCGATATTAATCCATCATCGTATTCCTGGCTACTCTGCAGTGGAGAAAAACCCAAATATAAAGCTTCTGCTGCTTGGCCAGTGACAGTAGGATGTATTTTTTAAGGTAGGGATTGAATGGTGGTTGTATTAAAATTTAAAGGTTAATACCAGCCTTATTTGACTTGTAGAAGGATAGATAACTACTAATAGTTACATTTATCCTTGTTTCTTCAGATGTTAGTCTACATTTTACATAGACTTCAACTATAGTGACATGACTCAAAAAAAGATTTTTAGATACTGTCTAAACCCAGCTACCACATTTATACCTGAGGAAACTGAGACCAAGAAGACTTGAGTGCCTTGTGTAAAATCAGTTAGTGGCAGAGTTAGGAACTGAATCCAGATATCCATTATACAGTGCTCTGCATGACACCTTTATAAAAACAACATACTACTTAAATTTCCTGAAAAAGCTGCTTCTGTGAACAAAAATTTTAGAGTATTCTGAGAGACAACTATAGTAACTCTTGCTTTCCTGTAGTCCTCCAAGGAACTTAATAACTTAGGTTTAGGAGTAGGCAGGGAGACTGCTGAATTTGAAGCAACTCTATATATGTGATGACAGTTTTAAATGGTTTGGTAATCCTACAGATACCAGCTGGTTCCCAGTGAGGACTGCATTTAATGCAGTTTTATCATACCTTTAGTTTTCACGTTTATGATGTTAGGCATATACCCATTTTATACCCAGTTTAACGGTAGCTGAAAGGATGGGTACTGCTTACTTGCTTTTAATACTGATGAGGAGAATGATCAAGATCCCCAAGCTATCAAAATCTGACTTTGTGTCCATTGTTGTTTTTTATACCACCCTTAAAATAATTGCTGCTAAATATAGTAATATGTGACTCCTCACAATGACTACGACAGAATACATTAATAGGATTGGAAACCAGTGAGGGCCAGTGGTCAACATATCTAGGTTCTAATTGAGGGTATTTTTCTGAGTTACTGATCTTCTTTTTCTCTCCTTTCCTTCTCTGGACATTTGTTTAATGAAATACTCAGTGATGGTGATACAAATATGTATTCCACAGCGTTGCTGGTTAGATATGAAAGTGTTCTTATATTTTAAGGTGTTTTATAAATGGAGTATTCTCTTCTTGTTGAAAGCAATTTGGTCCCCTTAGAGAATGGTGTCGTCTGAAAATAAATGTTTAAATCTTAGATTTTTTAAGCAGGAAGTGAACTGACATAATTCCCTCATTTTACAGTTGAAGAAACTGAAGCCAAGAGATACTGTGATTTGTTCAGGTTCACACAAGTAGTTGCATTATCTTGAACTAGAACCCAGCTCTCTAGGTACCTAGTTCAGTGCCCTTTCCGGTGTAGCATTCAGCTATTAGGAATTCCTAAATATGATTTAAATCAAAAGAATTTAAAAAAATTTAAAATCTTTGAATAAATTTGGCTGGAGAATTTGACTGTCTCTTTGACTTTTACTATTATTTGTATTCTACTCTACTACACCATTACTAATGAAGAGTTTACAGCCTGTAAAACCGATTATCAGATTACGTATATCAGATTCCAGCTTGTCTTCATGTGAGAAATGATAAAACATTTTTAATTGCCCCAACAGGAAAGTTGACCCTTGAGTTAAAATTCTGGAGGCATAGGAAAATGTAGAATGTCAGGACTAGAAGAGAATCTTAGAGAGCATTTTACTTTTTCTTTTCCTCTTAATTTTTTTTTTAATTTTATTTATTTTTGGCTGCGTTGGCTCTTAGTTGCTGTGCGCGGGCTTTCCTCTAGTTGTGGCGAGCGGGTGCTATTCTTTGTTGTGGTGCAGTGGCTTCTCTTGTTGTGGAACACGGGCTCTAGGTACGTGGGCTTCAGTAGTTGGGGCACGTGGGCTCAGTAGTTGTGGCTCGCGGGCTCTAGAACACAGGCTCAGTAGTTGTGGCGCACGGGCTTAGTTGCTCGGTGGCATGTGGGATCTTCCCCGACCAGGGATTGAACCCTTGTCCCTTGCATCGGCAGGTGGATTCTTAACCACTGCACCACCAGGGAAGTCACCATTTTACTCTTTTTCTTTCTCTATACTGGACCTTGAGGCCCAAAGTGAAGTGATATATCCTAGTTTGGCAATGATAGAGCTTAAGAGAGAATTTAGGTCTCCTAACTCCTACATTATGCACTTTTAACTGAGCCAACAGTATTTCAAAATACTCCTATGAATATTGCCTTCCTGACATGAATGTCTCATCTGGTTTTGGGCATTGCTTACAGCTTGAGTTTGTGCCAGGGAAGACTGGGAAAATGAGGTAGGGAGACACGGAGAGTGTTTGCTGTAGAGCTGAGGAACCCAATTCTTTGGCTTTCCCAGACAGGTCAGGTTTGGTTTAAGACTATTCTGGGACTTGACATGACTGCCCTAAATGATAATTCTGTAACCACTTCTGTGGGTTAAGCCTACATTGGGAAATTTATGTGGGCTGTGGGTGGGGTCCTAGGGTATTTTTCTCCTAACACTCAAGACTTTGAGGTACATCCAGTAGGATCTGCCAAGCTACTCAGATGGAGAACATTCATATTGAGACTAAATTCTGGCTAAGACTGAAACTGCCTTGTTTTGTTGATTTGGTTTCTTTAGAGCCTTTAAACAGAATTTTCAAACTCATTTTCAGGACTTGTGTCTTAAGAATTATAAATTTCATATTACTGTACAAACTTTTTTATGCCATGAGACTTCTTAGTGAGGCTAATGAATTTTTAAAATAAAATGAAAAATGAAATTGTTTCATTTATGAAATATTTTGGAGAACTAAAGCAGGAATCCTTCCTTTGGAGAACTGCAATGTCAGCTGTTAATACTTATTTATAAATAGGTCATCTTTGTTTGAAAAAGCATACAAGGTTTTCTAATTCCAAATCTTTCCAGCCACAGTATTGCTATATTAAGCAGAACTGTCAAAGATGAAATGGAACCAAAATGTCTAGACTGTTTAAATGTTAACCCTTTCCTGTAACATTGGTTAACAATCACGCCTATTTACCTCTTCGTACCTACTCAGTTTTAAAATGTTATTTTAAAAAATACTGTAATAAAACATAAGTCTGAATTCTATTTTCACATAGCATAGCTGGCTTATAAATAGGGTGACCATATGTCCCAGTTTGTCCAAGACAGTCCTGGATCATGCCTTTTATCCTGGCATAATTATTTATAGCTCTTTATTCTCAAAAGTATCCCATTTGGATAATAAATTATCTAGTCACCTACTTACACACTATAATAATTTTGTTGTAGTAGATTTTGGTTGTTGAAATGTTACTTGAAATACGACCATAAGATGATGGAATATTAGCTTATTTTGGCTAGATTTGGATATTTTTCATTGGTCGGACATTTTTATTGTGTTGAGAGTTCTTACTGTCTCAGAGTAGTATATTGAACAAGAAAGCACATGATTTGAAGTTAGGTATCATTGATTTGTTGTCTGTCTTTGGCAGGTTATAGAACTTTGCTGAACCTTTTGTTTCTCTTAAACAGATAATAGCAATACCTACACTACAGGGTTATTGTGAGGATTTAAAGGCAATAACATACATAAAAATGCTTTATAAGCTGCAAATTGCTATGTAAGTGTTAGTCATTAGTATGTCTCACATGTGCTCCTGAAAGTTGAATTTTAAATTAA